TTAGGGGATTAGGAGTTTAGGGTTTAGGGCTTAGGGTGCCCGTGACTTCCATGGGCTTGTGAACGTGACGCAGGTTCGAGGATCCTGCATCGAACGCTGAAGACCAACCTTAAGGACGAAATGATCCTCAAAAGGTTTTCAGGTTCATATACTATATTGGGATTTGATAGTATAAGGGCATTAGGGCCCCTACTTATGAGAGTCATTTGGTCCCCAAGGAACCCTCATGGCAGTCTTGGCCATATCGAAGCCTGAATTATGTAAGGTAGAGGCCTCTTTTTTCCGGGAGGGGCTGGTGACGTATGTCGCGCTCATGAATTCAAAAGAGGAAGGTAGAGGCCTTAATAGTTAGAATGGGGTTTGCGGATATATATTTTTCTGAAATCATCATAAGGAACCCCCAGAAGAGTATAGGTAACTACTGCGACCCTATGTAAACCCTAAACCCTAAACCCTAACCCTAAACCCTAAACCAAGAAAAACCTAAACCCTAAACTTAACACCCTAAACCGGTGCAGGGTTTAGGGTTTAGGGTGTAGGATCTTATGTAAACCCTAAAGCCTAAACCCTAAACCCTAAGCCCCTAGTGTCTGTGGTGACTGAGGTCGCGCAGCTCGCCAGTGATCGATTGTGGAGCTGACTGTGAGAAGCTTGTCCGGCAAGGCTAAGGCTGCCATGGTTTGGGGTTTAGGGTTTAGGGTTTAGGGTTTTGTATGGTTTAGGGTCTAGGGTCTAGTATGCTTTAGGGTTTAGAGTTTAGGGTTTTGTATGGTTTAGGGTTTAGGGTTCAGGTTTTTGTATGGTTTAGGGTTGAGGGTTTAGGGTTTAGTATCCTTGTTGTTTGAAAACCGGCGGCATGCGTAGACAGTTGGGATGCCGCAGACACGTGCGCAGGTCAGATCTGCGTGTCCGAATTAATCCACAGGTCCCCATAATTAACGTCAGTTATGGTCAATACTTTCTCTCGTCCCTTAAAAAATACTATCGGATAGTCACCGTGTCTATTCTAATACCTCTTTCGGGGACTGTATACCCCAAAAGCAGTGATGTTTGTGAGTTGGCTTAGGTGTTTTCTTGGGTGTTTGTGCTCCTGAACATGAGGGATGTGTTTCGGATTTCTGATACTTAAAGCTCCTTCATCGCCAGTTTAATCCGTGGCGTCGGCCTCGGCGACAGAGCCCAGTCGTGTCTTCGTATGTTTTCTGCAGTGTTTAGGGTTTAGGGTGAGGGCTTTGGGTTTTAGGGTAAGGGTTTCGGGTTTAGGACCTATTATTAGGGTATAATGGTTTAGGGACTCTAAACCCGAAATCCTAGACCCCAAAACCCCTAAACCCTAAACCCCTAAACCCCTACCATAGGGTTTAGGGTTTAGGGTCGTCAATGAAGCCTTGCGAAACTCAGGGTGACGAGCATTCTGCAGCGCCGACTGTCGCGTGGGTCCGCCAACAGCACGTCATCATTGCCCCTTGGATTCACAGTGACCAACAACCTCCAAACCCTAATCTTTGGGGTTTAATGTAGGGGCCTTAATAATTTTAATAGGGTTTTGGGGTTCCTTATTAGAATTAACTATACTATGAAGGAGCTCAAACCCTATTCTAATTATTAAGGGCCCCTACATTAGGCTGTAAAGCCACCAGCCCCAAATGCCAGAGCCCTTTTCTAAGACCCGAATGCCCACGGTGTCTAGACTCTTGAACAATCTTTCTTGGCTGCTCTATGAGGACATCCCAAACAACAGGATGGAAGAGCCAGTCCCGACCCTAAACCCTACACCCTAAACCCTAAACCCTAAACTCAGAGTCAGACGATGAGCATGTTTTTCCCGCCCCTCCCAGCACTGCCGGGCCCACTGTCAGTGCCGAGCCTCGCAACATGACATGTGTATGCTGAACTTAGGGTTTAGAGTGTAGGGTTTAGGGTTTAGGGTTTAGTTGTCAAAATGCCAACCTTTTAAGTTTTTGGGTTCTTGTATTTTAATCGTAATCTGAAAGTTTAACCTTTCATTTCCCTGGCTCTTTGGGGAAGTAAGTGAACGCACCGAGTCACACGAAGCGGGCTCTGCAGCACGACCCCTGCATTTTTCTTGGCTCCCTCAAGTCTAAGCCCTTCAATCCAGCACAGGAAACGTCTGGTGGGACTGCAGCCACATGAGGAGCTGGAGCAACAGGTGCCAGTTGATAGGGTCTTTGCCCCCTGCCCTGTGTAAACCCTTATTATAAACCCAAAACCCCTACACCCCTACACCCCTAAACCCCTAAACCCGTAAGCCCCCAAACCCTAAACCCTGAACCCCTACACCCCCTAAAACCCTGAACCCTATAAAATCTTCGGAGAAACGTATTGGGCCGCTTGTCACCTCCGGAATCCGACCCAAAGGGGCCTCAACAGTGAACCCCACTACCCAGACCCCCAGGGGTTTAGGGTTTATAGGGGTGTAGTGGTTTAGGGTTTGGGGGTTTGGGGGTTTAAGGTTTAAGGTTTAGGGGTTTAGGGTTTAGGGTTTAGGGTTTAGGGGTTTATAGGGTTCAGGGTTTAGGGTTTAGGGGTTTAGGGTTTAGGAAATAGATCTCGTAATTTGGGACCCACCCTATACTACTAAGGTGGTTCTTTATAGGAGCCCCCTTAAGGGATCTGCTTTTGGAATCCTTCCGGGGGGGCCTGGATAAGGGTCCATAGCACATGCGAGCCAATATAGGGGCCTCAATAATTACCAATTCTATTCTGGGAGTTCCTCAGTATACCCTAAACCCTAAACCCTAAACCCTAAACCCTATTCTACTTATTGAGGCCCCTTATCTTCGGTACGTTGAGGTTCTGATGAGGTTCCCAGAATGGTGTTTGTAGGGTTACAGAAGGGTGTTGAGGGTTGAACGGGACCGAACACATCGGTGCTTGGGCGTACTATTTCGGAGAGTATGTAATTGTGGGGACGGGTGTTTACGGAGCCTTGCTTGAATGCTCCTTTTGTTCGTGCGCTTCTGATGTTGGACTTCGGCTGTCTGCTGGGTTGTGTTTATATAAGGCTGTTGCTTTGTGTGTTGACTTTACAAAGCATAGCTGCAACTTTTTTTGAGGAGGAGCACCACACGACTTATCAAGAAAAACGATTGGGACCATAAATTTTGACTTGTGTATACTGGTAGCCTGCTGGCTAGATTGCTGAATCTTCCCAACACAGACATTCTAGAAGCATTCCGATAAGCACCGACAGCTCTACCTGAAGGGTCTTGTTTCTGCTGGAACACCTTGCATGATCATCCATAGCTGGCAGAACAGAATACACCGTAATTCCCCTGGTTGCTGGTTGCCCGCCGAAAATGTCGCAAGCGGAAAATAAACCCGCGGGGGTCGTCGGGGGTCGTTGAGAGCCCCCTCCAGATGAGAGCCTGTGCCAAATGCCTGCTCCCAAGAGAAGGATCTCTATAACCAGCAGGACATGTAAGTCAAGCCTAGTTTCTGACCGCCTTCTCTTTTTTGTTGCCCCCTCCCGGCATAACGCTGTGGCTTAAAGCAACCTTCGAGAACCTTTGCACAACCACCCTAAACCCTAAACCGAAACCATTAAGCAAGGGTTCTCGGGCTCTCCGGGCCCCCAACCCCCAGATGCCCTTCCTGGCTGGGCCATGCCTCGCCTCCAGGGCCGCACACGGTTTAGGGCTTCGGTTTTGGGTTCAGGGTTGAGGGTTCAGGGTTGAGGGTTTAGGGTTTGGGGTTTTGGGTTCAGGGTTTAGGGTTTAGGGTTTTGGGTTCAGACAAATTCCGACTTTAGTGTGTAGGGTAACGGGCACTAAACCCCAAACCCCTAAACCCCTAAACCCTAAACCCCTAAACCCTAAACTTGGTTTTGAAGTCTTAATCCTAAACCCTAATCCCTAATCCCTAGCATAAACCCTAAACCCCAAAACGGCACCCTAGACCCTGAAGTGGTACCCTAGACCCAGAAGTCCTAATGAGGTCCCTAGCATTATCAGCTTCTGGTTCCCATCGAATGATACTCTACTGACTATTTGAGGGGTCTTAGGGCTTTTCGGGTTTTAGGGTTCAGGGTTTTAGGGTTTAGGCTTTAGGGTTTAGGGTTTTGGGTTTGAGGGTTTGGGGGCTGACTTTAAAACCTTCTCTGATGACGGATATGCCCTTACATAACCCTTCATGATCTGCTAAATCCCTTACAAAGCACTTGACTGAGCGTTCGAAGAAGCCTTATGCGAGCCGTTGAAGGAATCCGTTAAGGGAGTCCTCAACAAGAGCCCCGAAAAGTCACAGATCCGAACCCGAAACCGGAATTAGGACTCCTGAAGCTTAGCTCTCCATTAGCCAACCTGAAAACTTTTTGGCTTCTTATACGTAGTAATCTGAAAGTTGGACCTTTAATTTCCCGGGCTTCTTGGTGAAGTCGGGAAACGAACCCTTAAAAGTATCCAACGAACCCCTCCCCAGGCTCGGTTCCTCGCTGCGGTGCCTCTGACGGCGCTGGCGGCCGTGCTCACGGCCGCGCTCTGGAGCCTAGAATCTCGGTGACTCTAAGGTTTAGGGTTTAGGGGGTTTAAACGGCTTCGCCTTAAACCTTGAACCCTAAAAACCCTCCGGGTTAAGTACCTCCCTCAACCCTAAAGCCTAAAGCCCGAACCCTATAACCTAAAGGCCCTAAGCTGTACCCCCACAGCCCCAAACCCGAAACCTATCCATCCTTAATCCCGAGCTCAAGCTGCAGATGCCCAGGACCGTTATAATTACAAGACATGTGCCTCAGGTCGTCAAACCAAGGAGGAGTTAGAGGGTCAATCTCCAGCGATTTCCTGTAAGGGTTACCTGCGGCTCCAACATGTGTTTTAAGGGTTAAACCAACCCTAAACATTCTCAAACCCTGTTACAACCTACTCTTTTCTTGGGCTCGGGGCTACATGTGGGGTTTAGGGTGTTTGATATGGGCTTGTAGTTTTGGGGGATTGCAAAGCATTGCTAGGGTTCACAAAGGCTTTGCCAGTCTGCATTTACCGAAGCTTTACCTTCGTCTTTCAGACGTAATATAGGGGCCTTAATAGATCACGCGTGGGAAGCCCGAATGCCTGCGGATGGGTCATGGACTTAGGCCGTTTAGAAAATTTAGGAATCCAGGATTCTCGCACATGGTGTGAAGAATTCGGGACATCATGGGATTCGAGGAGAGTTGGGGAAGTTGGGAATCAAGGGATTACAGGAACTAGCGAAGAATTTAGTTTATGGCATACGAAAGGAAGGAGTCCAGTGAACCGAGCGAATTTGATGTGAGAGGGTGGTCCTTGGGCGGATAACATGTATGTATGCATGTATGTA